TAAGCAATAATTTATCCAATAACAGAACCAAACCACGAACAAAGTTCATCCAGAGAGGAAGACAAAGCAGTGCCTGAAAGAAGTTTGTAACAGTTACATCAATTTCTCTATATTTTTGTCTGTTGTTTTCACTACAATTTACTGTTGATTTCTATTACAATTATAACCTAGCTAAATAAAAGAGCTGTAGGTCTTATATGAGTGAATTATGGCCAAGGTTAAATAAACACATCAGGGTATCATACAAAAAAATTGCACACCAAATATAACGGACATTTCGTTATACTGTAATATAAAAATTGTTCAACAAATTGGTGTTAAAATCACAATGCCATAACAATAAAATTAGGAGATATTAAAAGTTAATACGAACATGCAAGTATGTTGAAAATCACCATGATCCCACTTCACTTTATTCACCACTGAATTACAAAATGAGATATGGAAGGAAGAACTGCTCATGATGCCAATTAGAAGCCTTACCCCACAGGTGAACCAATCACAGTATAATGTAATTATCCTGTTGTATATATGAAAACTGTACTTTAAAGCCCTAAAAACTAAATTACTACAACTGTCCTTGGACTCTGAAGGGGGAGGCAGTATAGGAAGTAGGATCATGCCTATTTCAGATTACAAGCATCATTTTAATACTACTACCCAGATTAATCCACACACTAGTAGCATGAAATGTGATGGACCATAACTAAACCCTTTACTATCCAAACTGGAAGGGTAAAAATTACTCGTAAAAGAATAACAATTATGATCTATCATGTCTGTCCACGGCCTACACAATTAATACAATATTTCTTTTCATTACACATAGCTTAAAATATACTTACCAACTTCCAAATTTGTTTTACACAAGCTGTTTGTTATTAAAAAGACATAAATCTCTGGATAATGCTGTGTAGTTCAGTGAAAGTCAACTGATGTATTGGAAGAACATATTGCTTCCATCTTCAGGGTCAAAACTTAAGCCAAGAAAGAAACCATTATGAAACTAGTAGCAAGCAGGGCTTCCTTCCTTGGCTTACTCTTCAATCCTGAAGACGGTGGCAATATGTTCCTCTGAAATGTTGGCTGAGTTTCACTGAACCACACCATGTTATATCCCAGAAGAATCTTCATAGTTACCGCTGTGAGAACCTCAAATCCACCAGGTTTATTAGAATATTATATTGATCTATCATGAACACACATAATATGCCTACAGTATTTCCAAATCAAAATCTGTTAATTATGTTCATACCATGTGTCAATATTTCCTAACAAACTGAAAATTTAAAAATGTTCAATGTTTAATCTTACCACACCTGAAAATTTATTCATACATGTACATAAAGATACCTCTAGCAATATTAACATTGGAGACAAAATTCAGTACATAAAACATGTGGCAGAAATTCTCTGTTCCATCCAATTCCCAACACCATAACTGCTTATGTGCAAAATCTTGCTTCATACATAGCATGCCTACAGCAAAATTCTACAATTTCCACACTGTTACCACCTTCATATTGCAGTGTATCTTAAGACTAACCTATGCAACAGGTTTAATAATATTTTGAACCTTCAGGCTCTATTATCACAGAATATGTTACTGATTGTCTCAACCTAGATTTCATGTAGATGAGTGGTCAGCCTCACACCTGGCAACTTCACTCATGGGAAAACACTACCCCTCTACCGACTTGCCCTATGGATTTGGAGCTCAGTTGTTTCCAGAGCTGGTCTGAATGCTGGAAAGTAAAATCTATGACCCTGTCAGGAACTGAAACAAAATACCTGGTTGTCCAACCTTTAGTGTAGTAAATATACTGACTGGACTATCTTAACTGCTGAAAATAACCCGTGACAACCCAAGGACCAATATGAAGCAAAGGAAATTTCACGGTTACTTTTCCCACCTGTAACATCAGAAAAGTATCTCAAAGGTGCAGCAGTTACATTACAGTTTCTCTTGACAATAATCCAAGTATCAATGAAGTGAAATGTTACGTTTCCATATTAAAAATATTAAGATGTAAAGCTGCCTGTTAAATTATTAGTAAATCGGTAACACGAGAATTAAAAAAAAAAAAATGTAGAGGACCAGTGAAGACCCACATGGGTACAACTGAAATCAGAAACCATTCACAGCTTCACAGACAATGAAACAGATGTCACAGGTGACCTGTTTTGACCTTATGGTTTCATGTTATGTAGTGGCCCTTTTAATCTTTACTTGGAAGTGGTGCCACCAGGTTTAACATCATGAAACTGAACATTTTGCTCAGATACAACATTTCTTAGTTTCTACTAGTTCTCAGAATAAGCAATAACAATTCATGTGACAAGTCAAATGTTGGATCAAGGATAAGTCCCCAATGCAAAGACTGACAATGTGATAATGTACTGACTGGTCAGGTCTATATCATACATCTCTGGAAGTGGTCATAGATGAATATGACACAGTGGGATGATGTTCAGAGGGAAATCTGAAGCATCTCGAAGAAAACTAGCTCCTATGCCACCATGTTCATTATAAATTGCATATGAAGTCACCCAGAACTGAATCCATGGACACACCTAAAAATGGATATGTCAAAGAAAGCAGAGAGAATTTTCCTGAATGTGATTAGCCAAATTAACTTTGTAATAGATATATGGTGAATTTTCTTGGAAGTAAGAAACAAACTTTTATACCATTTATCATTCAAATTAGCTTGGCCCTTTAGAGGATTAAGTGGATACTTGGAGCCAACTAGTTTAGCAGGGGCTGCACTGCACCATAGGCATCTACATGCAGTCCACATTATAAAAAATACATTTTAGCTGATAAAATGGAACAGTATTTCTAATAAGCAATGTGATCATGCTGGGCACATGAGGAATCCAAAAAGCAGTGTTGCAAGGTTGATGACAGTTTAATATGTGTCTTTAAAGTTTTTCTAAACTAATATTGCCTATATTTATTAAGTAGTACAAATTCCACACTTTTCTTAGACTCTTATTAGCTGCTATATGAAATTCCCTAAACAATAATCATATGGAATATTCAGTAAGCAATTTTCAGAAATGCGAGATCTGAGGTTTTCATAGCAGAGACCGGTAGAAGTTTTAAAATGCTTTGAAGGCAGCACATTCCTCTGGAACATCAGTAAATGACTACCAGACTACATGGCTACATGGCATCGTATTTCTTCATAAAGTTCTCTAACAACATTCTACAGCTTTTCTTAAGGAAAGTGTTAACACATATTTCGGGCAATGGAAGTGTATTCCTGAAGGCCATATACCAGTCCTCGTCTACAGTACCTAGCTTCCTCTGATGTTTCTCATCCACATGACAGATCAATATCCTGTTTCATAACCACAAATTTGAGAATTTCAGGCTTGTGTCAGACATCCACACTATCCTCCTGTAAGAACTATGGCAAACATAATTTCGTTTTTTACAGTGCTCATGCTGTGCTCTGTATATGGATCCACAGCACATATCAGATTCTCTTAGAATGTAAACTGGCAGTAACATCAAACACGCACACACACATACAGAACTGCCAACACTGGCATCAAATTATCCCTAAAGCTTAAATGTTTCATTTCTTCACCAGACACCATACAAAAGAAGAATTCCTTCCAAGTTGGTAATTTCCACTCTAAATTAAAACACTGTGGTAAGCCTGGAGTTATACATCATGAATGGAAGTACAGAGACCTTGGAAGCAAGACAATTTATGCAGCCAACATGGGACTGTGACACTGGCAGTATAAAATGGCTTAATATGCTGACATCTGGAAGCCACAGGGTTAATTTCAGAGATTATGTGACAACCAAGTTCTGCACCTCCAAGGTCTCGTGCTCCTTACCTCTTTCATGGTGCACACATACTTGACAAATGGCTTTAATGCTGCTCCTTTACTAAACATATGTTAGAAGTTAATGTAAAGGAAATAGTTCAGGCATACCATTAAATTGCATCCTAAGCTCAACAGTATATGTAATCTTCTCAACAATTTCTGCAGCAATCGGGCTGACATTTCTTCAACATTCTACAGGTGTTCCACCTGACAAAACTGTTCAATGCTGGACATATTGCCCGTCATAAATAGTTCCTGTGTTCCAAAATTTTGCTACCAACTGATGTATTTATTGTCTTATTCCATACAACCTTGTCAGGGTCCACACCGCTAAATGCTTCATGAATAGAAGAAAATAATTTTTATGTGAGTAACGGTTGAGAATGTAAACACATTCTGCTCATGGGTACATTATGTTTGTATCTGCAGCACTTCTGCAAAAATGGCAACTGCAGCAGCATGGTATTTTTTTTTTCTTTTATTGCTAGTGGGGTGGGACTAAGTCCCTCGTACTGCGGCCACTTTTGGCCTATTGTACCAGCTCCAGATGATAGGTGAGGGTGATTGTGGAGCAATTGGTAACCAGAATGATGATGACTTGAGTGTTATCAGGAAAGCTGGGAGAGCCCATCAGATGAGAGGGGCAGCTTCTGATTTCCTTCCTGTACCACAGTACATGACTGTTGTTTGGGGATGCATTTTAAATGGTACACCTGTATCCCCACAGGAAAGTTTCTACTAACACAAATGTGTTACCTACTTAAATAAACCCTGCAAGTGCCAAGGGTTGCAAGTTTCAACCTTTACAATTACTGCTGTAGCTTAACATCACATGACACCTGTTGGGGTTTTACATGAAGTCAAAATTAAAAGTTCTGGAGTTTTACATATATTCTTTACCCAATAAAAAGTGGAACTCTGATATATGAAATGAAGACTTCACACTGTTAGGGTTAAGAAAACAATCAACTATCAACCAATGTATATAATCATCTGAAATGACAACTAACTTCATCCAGTTGCACAACCAGCTTTGACTGATAACAATTTTTAGCCTACTTTCCTAAAGTAGGATTATGCAATCTCCATCCTCTGTGTCTGTGTTGCAACCCCTATCAATCTTTATGAAACTTGGTATGTATATCATGGCAACTGAGCCCACCTCAACAGCGTACTTCATAAACCCCTCCCATCAGTCTGTGTGTCTGTATGTGTATCCCTCCTATTGTTGCAGGACAACAGCTCGGTTACGTGTATCACTCCTTTCGGTGCTAGGCAATGTAAATATGTTCCCATGGAAATGAGTACATACAACAACAGAAGAATCACTGGACGTGTCATTTTCCATGTGGCCCATGTCATATCAAAGGAGAGTCTGTCAGTCTGTCTATTCCCATATTGTCACTAAGTACCAACATGTTAAAGATTTGCACAGAGCTACAAAGAATTGTTGGATGCATTGTTTTCCATGGAGTCCATGTCATATCAAAAGACAGTAGGTGATTAGATCTTCCCAGAACTTGTTATAATTTCAAAATAGCAAATATGGAACTTTCTCTAATGTGTAAATAATCACACCTTGCTAAAAATACCATGATCAAAAATGGCATGAACATTGTTAATTGGCCTAATGCACAGTTATTTTAAAGGCCCGAGTTCAAATTTTGGATGCTGCTATATTATTAAATGTTTAGCAGAAAGTCTGGTACCAGCTGGTCTGCTTTAAAGGTGCAGATTTGGACTTGTTTATCAGATGTCAGCAAACTTGGACTGGCNGGGGGGGTTGCAGTTTCAAGCACATGCACTTGCTCAAACACCTCCCTACATCCAATAATCCAATATTTTAATATGCTGGCTGGGGGGGACCCCCCAGTGTCATGGCTGGGCATGATACCTGCGGGGGGTATAACTGACTTTTCATTAGATGAAAGTTTTTTGGTCCTGTGAACTTTGGCAGTCATACGGAATATTATAGTGTGTGCGTCTGAGGACCAAAGAAGCGTACAGGAGCAAGGCTTCAGAAAAAGACCACCCACAATTAAGTCAGGCCACCTTTCAGAATACTTATAAATACTGAGCTCTGTTTGAATACATCATATACAGTTTAAAGTGTTAATTTTCTTTTCCTCATTAAACATAGTGAGAACTGTTTGCATAACACAATATAGGGGGAAGGGAGAAGTATCCTGACATAGCCACAACAACATACCGTCCCCATGCCAGCGTACACACATGCATGCACACACACACACACACACACACATGCACACACATTAATATATATATATTTCTTACATCCATGAACAACCACTTCTCTGTTGCCTGCTATCCCACCTACTGACAAAGTCCCAGACAACCATGAACCCAAGACCTCATCCCTTGACACCACTGAGCGATGCAAGCATCTACTGCTAACCAAGCACTCAAAGTGCACTTATCCTTTGTGGACCCAGTCCACTGGTGCCCAACTAAAATTATACAGACACATCAGCACAAATTGTGGATGGTTATAACTTGATCTGCAATCCAGCCATGATATAGGCAAGTGATCAGTTTGAACTATCAAGGTTACAGAGCACTCCAGTGCAGGGTGTAGGTCCAACCCATCATGAAACACAATATAACAGAAGGGAAGAAACGGTGCAGGCAACAGCAACAGTAATGTTACTACAACAAACTACACTTCTTCTTATTCTTCTTATAGTTGGCTTTGAGGGGCGGACGTTCTGACAGCTGAAACTTGCGGACAATTCTTACCAGCTCGTGAAAAGCCTGGTCAACATTCATGCGAAGTTTTGCACTGCACTCAATGTATGGAATCTTCAACTGTCTTGAGAGATTCTGCGCTTCCATTTGTGACACCTGTTACAAGCACATCAAACATAAGTCAAATGCATGTTTCGACCCTTTCTACACTATTGATGTAATGTCCTGGTAAAAGTAGAGTTCCTGTTCTTGCTGAACTATCATGCTGTGAAAGTGTAAACATGAATAGAGGTATAACTGTACCCTGTTTAACCTCAGCACTAAGACGGGGGAGAGTGGTCAGTTTCACAATCTCTGCTGCCTTTACCACAGGGAAATACTCCTCAGTATCCATTGTACAGTAGGCCTGGTAAGCCCCGAGAAGCAGGCAGGGCACTGAAGTAAAGAGAAACATCTCTTGTCCCTGGTGGGAATAGAACCCCAACTTCCCACTTGTCCAGCCCAAGGCCCATTCACTATACAAGGTGTGGCAATAAAGAAACCGGATTCATGCTCTAACCCTTTATTAAAAAAAAATCAGACAGTCGAAATGTTATCCCCTTCAATGTAGTCCCCTCCCCGATCCCTACACCGCTCCATGCGAATTTTCCACTGTTGGAAGCAGTGCTGCAGGTCATCTTGTGTTATGCTCTTCAAGAGTTGCGTCGCTTTTGCTTTCACTGCATCCACGGACTCGAACCTGGTCCCTTTCAGCGCAGACTTGATTTTTGGGAAGAGAAAAAAGTCGCACGGTGCTAGGTCCGGAGAATACGGTGGATGTTCCATCACTGGAATGTTGTTTTTTGCCAAATACCTCTTCACAGATAGCG